ATTATGAAATTCATATGATTTTCACAGCAGCAGCGATTATCTCCCAAAACAGCCGGCCAGGCAGCCCTCGTTATAAGCGAGGTCGCAAAATGCGATTTCATTTTAATGCAGTCAACTAATTTAGACCGATTTCAAGCAATGCGAAGGAGTGGATTGGGAATGCGAGCAGAGGAGGGACAGTTATGTTCGATTTATGCGATTTCACCCTCTGCGACTCACAAGTCGAGGAATGCCTCTCACTGGTTCAAGGGTTGAGCCCCGTCTCACAAGCACTGGGTAACTGGTAGATTCTGTTTGTTACCAAATCCCACGCCTTCCTCTATGCTGTATGAGCACGTACACAATATATATTGAAGGCCTGTGCGAGTAGCTAATGGCAGGGTCGTTTAATTGGGAAAAATTTTGAAGTACGCATCCATGGCCTAATCTGGCATACTGTTTCGGAATTTGTCTGGAGAGACTGAGGAATATCACGAAAAATCCATATAGACGGTTTCCCGTCCGAGGTTTGAACCGAATATAGGTCAGAAGACAAGCCGAACCGAACTTCGCTCCTAGTGGGTGGCTTTCCCGCTTCGTGTTCTGGAGGTCCAGGGTTCAGATCTCAACACGGTTATCGGCTGTCTTGGTTGAGATTTGTCATGGTTTTTCTCAGTCACTGAATGCGTGTGTCGATATAGTGTCTCAAATTAAGCCACGTCATTTCCTACTCCAATATTTCTATTTCATTATTAATTAATGCATATTGTATTGTCGGGAAATATAGGGACCGCATTCTATCCTGCTAGTTCGAACTCGAGACCTTCTGCTCGAACGTCCAGTGTTTCTGCTTCGCGGAACAGAATTGTCTTTGTCTCAGCCCCGCCCAGTTTGGTGCGGCAAGTGCTCGCCAAGACGGCAGCTGAGTGACAGAGTCGTATTGGCAGGGCAGAGGGACAACGCCTACCGAGTTGAGTGTAAACTGCACGCGTTACAGTTCTGCCAGATAAGTTGCCGCACAGTCTGGGAAACAATCGCTGTTTATTGTGAGAATCATGCGGAACATATAAATACACTGTATAGCAGAATGCAGAGACTTTATGTATAAGAATTCAGTCCGTACCTCACACGAATCACATTACGTCTTCGGTACAGAGCCCAACCGGTTAATGCTGTTTGGGGAAACAGTCGCTGTTTATTGTGAGAATCATGCGGAACACATAAATACACTGTGTGGACAGAATGCAGAGACTTCATATATAAGAATTCAGTCCGTACCTCACAGGCAACACATTACGTCTCCGCTACAGAGACCAACCGGTTAATGCTGTTTAGGGAAACAGTCGCTGTTTATTGTGAGAACCATACGGAACATATAAATACACTGTGTGGGCAGAATGCAGAGATTTCTAATGTTACCAAACGCTTTGTTACAGACACGCAGTTTTTCCGTGAGGTAGAGACTCTTTTTTTATGTATTCAGAAGAAATTTGTGCCTTGAAAGCAAAATGATACAAGTGAGTAATTTTACTCGCATTATCTGGCTGGTAGAGAACCCACTGGAAGTTGTTCGTGGTGGAGGGCAGTATCGATGCCTCATGGCAGCTGTACTGACAGTTGCAGCTAGACTGCAGATAATTCTCGCTGTCTCACTCGTACTTAAAAAATGTTAAAGCAGATAGGACCAATCCGTCGTTGCATCCTTTTAATAGTTCCCAAGGCCAATTTCCATAAAACAAAGGAGGAACTGCATTTTGGAGCATTAGCATTACGTAACGAGCATATAGTCACGCGAGGGTGCGCCTTGTGTAATGCAATACCCTCTGAAATTTGCCCTGAAGCACTAGTCCCAGCCTCTCTCGGTCCGTTAGGCGTGGTCACGTAGAGTCTGGAGGAAAAGAAAGTGCTTTTCGTTATAAATTGTATGGAGACGACTGAGAGTGGATCTTAACGTCTGCCGTACGTGAGCTGGGCGGTGTGATGGAAGCTGTTCGGGGTACGGTGTCGGCATTTGTCTGGAGGGACTGAGGAAGAAGCCGGCAGCCCGGCCAGATTCTAACGAAGCAGCCCCCGAATACGAGTCCGGGCAGTTGTTCCCTTCGCCCTGACGGATTTCTCGAGCTGTGTGATGTTAAGCAGGGGGCGCTGTCTGAAGGTGTAAAGTTGCCCCTGTGCTTAATTACATGAGTGGAGGTTAGCTCCACCATTCTTAACCTCAGCAGTACATGGGGGTGAATGGTTAGCTTCGCGCCCCGACCGTTTAACCCCGGGGAAAAAGAAGACCCCCGATATATTGACTGGGAGGCTGGGTGGGCCCCACAGGCGGTCTGGACGCTGTGATGTAGACAAAAATCCCCTGCCCCCGCAGCCGCGAACCTTAAACCGATTCCTCGGTCATCCAGCCCCTAATCTAGTCGCTGTGCCGACTGAGTTAACCTGGCTCCGTGTGACTCATTTAGCAGAGGAAATAAGATTAGAAATGGACTGGACACGAACTGTTAATGTAGAGCGCGGAATATTCTGCCGTAACTTTAGTCGACCTGCACTCTGCCCACACAGTGTATTTGTGTGTTCCGCATGGTTCTCACAGCAAACAGCAAACGTTGATAAATATCTGTCAGACTGCACGTCGATATATTCCAGAAGGTACCGCCGTGACAATACAAGGCATGAGAGTCCAGACTGGAAATGGCGCACACACACACACACACACACACACACACACACACACACACACACACTGTTGTGTTCAGGGCGCTCGAACAGCAGTCGTGCAGTCTGGTACATAGGTACCAACGGTTCGGAGTAATATATTGCTCTCTTGCTGCCCTCTCCTGCTTCGGAGAGAAATCGACGTTTCCGAGACTCATCGCCTTTGTCTTCAGGGTCGAAATCAATCCCACCTCAACTCAGGTTGACGCCTACGTGTGCTGGTTTCTCGCTTGGTTTATTCCTCTACCGCGATGTGTTCTTGTGAAACGTCGAGCTCTTTCCGAACTAGCCACATGCACTTCTGCTCTGAAGCAGCAGGTTGTTTACCTGACTGTACGGCATCACATGCCATAAGGCAGGGTGCGAGTACTTATGTGAAAGACCAAAATAAAGATGGAATGACCGAAGGGAAGCGCAGAGAGCCATGACGGAAGGCCGTAATTACGTTAAATACAACCACATCTTGTTCTCCCTTGCTGCCCGACTGAACTTCTGGCCCAGGTTTCTCTGCAGTGTGGCGGATATGCGCTTGCGCAGCGGCCTGTCCACGGGAGTACGCCTGAAGCGAGAGCACTGATGGAGAGGTCACTGTCGAAGCAGGGGTGTACAGTGCTTCAGCGGGTCTCCCTACGTCACAGGCGACCGCGTTCTAGTCAGTAAATTCCACGCAGTGGGATCGGGAAGTAACCGGTTGGGACAAAAGCTGTAGAGAGAAGCGGAACTCCCAAAGCCAGCGGAAGCGGAGCAGTTTCCTGACTTGCCGACAGATGTGGTTGTGTTCGCCATTCGCGTGCGGTCAGCAGATCAGTTGATCTGTATCGCGTGTTTACACACCTGCGCATGCAAATGTAAACGTGTATGTAGCAGCTGTAAGGTCGCGACTTGTCTACAGCCAATCCTTGTCTACGCAGAGGAAATTTGATTGTTTAATTACGGTATATAGGGTGTAGAGGTTATTTACAGAAAGTTGTGGATCCGATCACGGTGGACGTGATTGCTTCGATTGCTCTCGAACACGGGTCGCGGGTTCGATTCCGACCCGAGGCATAGATATGTCAGGTTTTCTCCCCGTTAGTGCTTTCCTGCAAAGGGAGGTGAAGCGATCACCCGTCTAGGGCGTCGTGCCACTTGTCTAAACACGATTAAAGGGGTGCAGATGCTAATTCTGATCCATAAAGGCAGAACAATAAAGGTAAGGTAAAGTTGTCCTTGGCCGGTCACGGTAGCCGAGCGGTCTAAGGCGTGCACTGTCTTCGCTCGCTCGGAAGCCGGGATCGTGGGTTCGAATCCCACTCAGTGCATGGATGTTTGTGTGCGTTTTTCTGTGTTTGTGTACAGGTAGAGGCCTTGCGACGAGCTGATCACCCGCCAAAGGAGTCCTACCCTACGTCTAAGATCTAGAAAAACCGACGTGAACGGAGAAGTTCATGGAGGTAGGCCTAGGCCCACTGGGGCTGTAGTGCCAAGGGGGGGGGAAGTTGTCCCTATGCTTAACTAATTAAGCACTACGCCATGAAGGTGTATGGGGAGTGGATGTATAGATCCACATTTTCTTGACCTCAGTACTAGTTGGAGGTGAGTGGACAGCTTCACGCCCCGGCCGCTTTACCCCCGAGAAAAGAGCCCGCGGTACATATTGTATAGGACAGGCATGTCCAACTTCAAACAGGTTGCGATCGACTTCTTAGTGTCAAAACTGCCAGTGTTCTACCACCCCCTCCTATCGCCGTACCTCGCTTTAAGCAAAAATATTTGGGTGGACCCGAGAGCCGGTCTGGACGACATGGAGAAGCGAAAATTCTTGCCCCACCGGGAGTCGAACTCCGGCTGAACCAATAACAATAATTAGTATTAATGTTGTTATTAAGGACAACAAAATGAATATCCGGGAAGGAAACGGTGACGTCATTCTCATGGTCTGGGAAGACTGAAAGGAGACGTGAGAACCCTTGGTTAGGATTGAACCCGGGCCCTCTGAACATTTGTGGGAGGGGGTGAACTGTATTCACTCTACGTATGGAGGGACAAAGGTAGACAGCATGTGGTGGGTTGGAATGACAGGTAGCACGCACGCATAGGGCAGGTGGAAGTGTGGAATTTGAATTGGAGAACCTGAAGAGAAGGCGGTTGCGCCGGAGAGAGGATCATAAGGATGTGCGGGGGTGGGCTCTGCTTCATGGAGCCAGTTTCGGTAACGGCAGGAGATCCTGAGTGCCTGGGTTCGTGCCAGCTCACGTGTGTCCGGAGTATGACCCCATAGTACTTTGCATTTGGCCACGATCGCTTGCAATGAAGCTGTTGTGTTGCAGGGCAGCTGGTCGCGGCGGCTCCACTACCCCAGTCGCAGACTGTGTTCCACCCGGCAACGGCCGGACAGCCCGCCCCCGGCACGGCCGGGCCCTCTGTCGCCGGCCCCCACAGACGAGGACATCGTGGGCATCGCGGGTGGTGAGTAGCAGGAGACAGTTCCTCCTAAACACTTCGTTTATGTGGCCTGCTGTCCTCGAACGAAGAGATGGCGACGCAATTAACAAGGTCCTTCCGGACGACTCCTACTGTTGCCGTTGCCCGACCAGTTTCACACACCACTTGTCTCGCCTTCTCTTCGTAGCAGGATATAACATACCTCTCTTCTGGTACTCATTTTTCCATCGTAAGCCGCGTTGTCTGTGTCTGCAACATTTCCGAAACCCTGCGACGGGAAGGTAAATGTGCCAGCTTGAAAGCCGGGCCATGCTCGCATGCGTAGTGCTGCACTAGTTTCGACGGCCTGCGAATGTGCTACCGCAGGGACTCGATGTGTTGCTGACAGCCAGCGGAGCGCTGCTGTATGTTGGCAGTCAGCTCCACGCGGAACAGTTCGCGCGTGCTGTCCACTGCAGCCACTGGTTTTCGAAAAGTATTGCGCTTTTGTTGTTGAATTTCACCCGTCTTTTCCGTCACTACTAACTAATCTTGTAGCAGCTTGTAGATGCTCTCGTTCTTAGGAAAGAGACTACGTAATAATAAAGTTTACAACTACTATTACTGGGGGCACGCGGTAGCGTACTTGGTTGAGGCACTGTGCTACAAGCCAGAAGGTCGCGGGATCGAATCCCGATGAGATGGACTTCTTCAATTTACCTAATCTTACCTAATCCTTCCTGCCGCACTATAGCCCTGGGGCCGACTCAGCCTCTAATAAGTACCAGGAATATTCTTGGGGGTAAAGGGCGGCCGGCGAGTAAGGCTGACAACCTCAACGTCTCACAACCCTATGGGCCTCCACGGCCTGCTACAGGGATAGCTTCACTTTTTTTGTACTTTTTACTACTACTGGTACTTCTACTAATACGTATTAGGGTCCGGGTTAGCTCAGTCGGTATAGCGACTGGCTACGGGATGAACGACCAAGGGGTCGGAGTTCGAGTCCTGGTAGGGACAAGAATTTTATCTTTTCCACGTCGTCCAGACCGGCTCTGGGGCCCACCTAGCCTCTTATCCAGTGGGTGCGGGGGGACAAGTTTACTTTTATTATTTCGTATTCCTTTCCTAGGAGCTCTGAAAGATCAGTGCAGTAGGTCTACTCTGCTGTTGCGAGGCTCCGTTGAAATTCAACGAAAATAGTAATTTCTTCCTTCTCTTCGTCCTTCGTCCTCTTTCTCGAACTTTGCTATCCGTTCCGTGCCTTTATCTCGTTCACTCCTTTTTTCCCATTTTCTTTGTAAGTGTGTGAAAACCAGTGCTGCGTAAGAACTGCATACCAGTGTGATACGTGCTGTCAGCTGCAGTGTGCAGGCTACCCATTAACTTCCTCTCATTTGCCTTTACGTTTCCATTACAGCAGAATGAAAACTGTGTCCCGCACTGGGCGGCCTCTGTAATACTCAGCACGAAAACATCACCTGCTGCCCCGTCCGACAGGAATATGTTCGCGTCGTTACCGGAGCTTTATCGCTCTTGTACAGTGCGTTCCATTCCCCGTGAGGTCATGAGGTCATAGCATTTTTCAGTTTACTTAATCCTTCTAGCAGTACTATGGCCATGGGGTCGACTCAGCCTCTAACAGAAATTAAGACCCGGAATCTTCCTGGGGGTAAAGGGCGGCCGGCACGTAAGGCTGACAACCACACCGCCATCTGTGAACCAACTGTGTAGAAAATATGGGAGCCTCGACGGCCTGTTGCAGGGATACAGAATGACCGAACTTAACATAACCCTATTTCGGTACAGAACTCCGGGACCCCACACTGAATCACGCTGTAGTTTTGAAGCGTTGGAATTCTTCTGAATAATGCATAAAGCTGGAGCTCCTAGCGCAGAGAGAAGGAAGCTGGGATATCTTGTCTCTGCAGCAACGGGCTACAGCCTGGACGGCCAGCGAATCGAGGGTTCGTTTCTCGGCAGGGGCAAGAGAGCTTTCTCATCCCCACAGCGACCAGATCGGCTATGGAGGCCACCCTCCATATTATCCAGTGGATACCGGTGGCTCTGTCCATAGGGGTGAAGCGGTCGGAACGTGAACCTGACCACTGAAATCCATCTAGCACCTAGATTAAGAATGCGTGGAGCCTATACCTCTACTCCCACATGCGTGTTTTCTTGGGACAAGTTTGTTTACCTTTACCTTATAGGAAACATCGTCTTCGGTACAGAGCCCAACCGGTTAATGCTGTTTGGGGAAACAGTCGCTGTTTATTGTGAGAACCATACGGAACGCACGAAGTATTTAAGTGAATCTGGCTTGCGTCAAGTGCCAACGGGCCGAATAGTTTGCGTCATGACACGTCAGGGCCTCCTCTTAAATGGCTCGCGGTTTACAGCCCTCGTCGAAACATTTTATGTTAGTTTGCAGTTTACTCAGAAAGAGTTTGGTACATTAAAAAAGAGTGGCACGTGTATCATGAACTGCGTGTGTGCAGTTTCCTTTGTACACGTAGGTCCATGAAATACAGGAAGCTGTTGTTCAGGGTTGCAGGCATGTGCAGGAGCGACAGGAGGGCGAGACCTTTGCATGATGGCAAGTACGTGTTACAGGTTACTAGAAGTGGATGGCCGGAGTTCCTTATAATGTTTCAAAGCCAAGTCCCAGGCGGTAAGCAGTACATCAAACTCTGTGGCATGTAGGTCGAGAAACAGGCGACCGGTCGCTCTTGTACCAAATTTAAACAAGCGAGCAAATACTCGGAATCATATATTTAGACTCCTGACCAACTGGTTGGTGCGCCACGGTGCCGATGGCCTGTGCCAGATTAACCCATTGAAGCACAGTGGTAAACTTATATACCACCTGCCTTAAACTCTGCATTCTGCCCACACATTGTGTGTATGTGTTCCAAATGATTCTCACAATAAACAGCGACTGTTACCCCAAACAGCATTAACCGGTTGGTCTCTGTAGCGGAGACGTAATGTGTTTCCTGTGAGGTACGGACTGAATTCATACATATAAAGTCTGTGCATTCTGCCCACACAGTGCATTTGTATGTTCCGTATGGTTCTCACAATAAACAGTGACTGTTTCCCTAAACAGCATTAACCGGTTGGGCTCTGTCATGGAGCTGCAGTGTGTTCTCTTTTAGGTACGGATTGGATTTTTATATAACCTGGAGAGGAAGTTGAGTAGTCGCCAGATACCAAGAACGATTGTGCTGGACTGAGCTTCAAAGGGATCTTGTAAACTTAGTATGGCGCATGTGGAGATACTGTACCGCAGTCAGCATGTTAGAACACGTGGGAAGATGCGTGAGGATGGGTACTGACGATGATGAAACTCTCTGGAATTCTCGGGAGCCGAGTACTATACCTCGGTCGGTGTAGCCGCTAGGCTGCTCTGGAGCGCACACAGCCCCTTCTGTAATGGAAGCTCTTCCTTCAGAAGTAAAGCAGCCGGAGCTTGAAATTCATCAGCCACTACCACTTCCCATGTGTAGGTGTATAAAACTATTTTCCTGTGTGCTATCCAGCGAGGTTGCTCCTGTCCGGTCCGAACTGGAAGCTTCAAGGGCTAATCGTATCAGAAGCATTTATGCGGCTTGTGAACCATAGTCCCTAGGAGCACCATACTGGGGACATCTCTAGGTCGTCCAACCTGCAGTGACTTCCGTAGTCGTTCCCTGGTAACGGCTTTTGACAGTGGAGATTCTTCAGCTTTCACGCTCACGCCATTGCCGACTGGCCACCGTTCAGTTGTTTTCAGGTATCTGCTGCCTAGCAGCTGACGTTTCGTTGCCTGTTTCCGTTCGCTACTTAGCAACGGGTCTTTACATGCTACAATATATTAGAATTTAAATTACTAATTTACTGCCATTGACACAACAGATTAAACTTAATCTTACGCTGTGTGTATCTACCATTGTACGTATTATGTCCGTAACGAAGTTTCCAGCCATGATTTGTACACCCCTGATGTGGAGCGACATTTCCATGCCTCGGAAACCACCGGAGATGCTGCAGAATGGAATTTACGGTTGGAATTTGAGCCTTTGTTCAGAGGCTTGTCTGTGAAGAGAACATGCCACACGCAGGGCTTTGAATGCAGAGCTGAGAAACCTTTGCGGTCTAAAATCTATTTTGTCGGTCGTTTTTGCATCATCGCAATGCATAGCCATGTAGGGTACGTGCAGTTTGATGGATATGTAGGGTAAGTGTGGGTATGCGTATGTAGACCGAATCTACCCAATTTCGTGATATGACACTCAGTATTCTCCATGAAATTTGGTGCGTGTTTCGTAGTTTATTTTTTGACTCTTATCTGCAGACGGATGCATAATGGAATCACGAAATTGGGTGGGTTTACATTACCTTACATTACACTCAGTACACTTTATCACAATTCACTATCTTTACAGTTATATATATATACACACACACAGAATATTCACGTCAAAATTGTACTCCTTTCTCAGTACTCCTGTTCTATTAACTATGAAGTTGCAACCCCCATTTCTATAACTATTTGACAAAGAGTTGCAGAGGGTAAGAGCAGTATCGCGTTGAAATCTCAACTGGGCTCGCGGCTTTGGAAAACTTGGACACTGAGGTGGATATTAATGGCGCTTGGGAGACTCTTAGAGAGGATATCAAAATCTCAGCCAAACAGAGTCTAGGTTATTGTGAAGTGAAGTGAAGGAGCGTAAGCCATGGTTCGACGAAGGATGCCCAAAATGACTGGATCAAAGGAAACAAGCCAAATTGCAGGGGTTACAGGATCCGAGCGAAATAAATGGGGATAATGTGAACAGGCATTTCGGGAATAAGAAGAGCAGATATCTGAGAGACAAACTCGGTGAGCTTACAACGAACAGTAAGAATAGAGGAATGCATGAATTTAAGACGTGTTGCGATTCTAGAAGTAACTTAGTCAAGGATGAGAATGGTGATCTGTTCACAGATTCTCACAATATTCTGAATACATGGAAAGTCCACTTCTCTCAGTTATTCTATACATATAGGGTGAGTGAGTGTGAACCTTGGTCTCTGGCATTAAGGGAGGAACACAGACTGAGAGTGTTGAGCAGAATATTTGGACCGAAGAGAGATGAAGTGACGGGAGGTTGGAGAAAACTGCATAATGAGGAGCTTCATAACCTGTACTCTCCGTCAAGTAAAATTAGAATGATCAAGTCAAGAGGATGAAATGGGCAGGGCATGTAGCATGAATGGTGAGAAGCTGCGTATAGGATTTTGGTGGGAAAGCCGGAAGGAAGGAGACCACTAGGAAGACCAAGACATGAGTAGGGAGATAATATTAAAATGGGCCTTAGAGAAATGGGATATGGCGGTATGGACTGGATTGATATGGCTCAGCGTAGGGACCAGAGGAAGGCTCTTGTGAACACGGTTATGAACTTTCAGATTCCATAAAATGTTGGGAAATTCTTGAGTAGCTACACATCTGGCGGCTCATCTCCGTGAAGTTAGTTAGTTCGTCTATATTCTCAGAATACGTAGTCATGCTCAGATATTCAGAAGAAAGGAGCATTGAACTCTGAATTAACACAACTATATTTAGACCAGCAGATACGATTTCACCTACCCTCTTGATGCTAAGATTACTTCTAAAAAGAAGACACATCATCAGTACATTTCGGTATGATTTACATATGAAAACAAGTCTCATATGCCTATTCGAAGTGTCAGGAAGTATGAAAAGATGTCAGTCATTGTTTGTTGTCACTCGCCAAAGATATTCAGGCAAAAGGACCCTGTTTCAGGGCAACATATCACCTTCATAGCATGGGAAGGACGCTGGCTCTCAAAGTGGTAAAGCTGATAGAATGTGCAGTGCAGTGTGGAGTGTACGCCATCTCTGTCCCTTGCAGCTGAATGGAGCCAGGATTATGTTTGCAAATATTCAGCATGAACTGTGGTTCGGCTCTGTCTTTCGGGTTGGCAGATGAGAGTCTTCAGTCTCGCAGTTCCTGAAGTCAAACAGGACGGATCTTGAGGCCCACGTGGTCATTTGCACATCGCCATTAGCTTTTGACGTCGAATTTCGTGCTTCATTTGATTGTTTCTCTGTGGCCGGACCAGGAACATTAATGTGATTTGAGACGGGCTGACAGTCCCGGGGGTGCATTTGTTCAGCATCGTCCTCATCAGTCTTGCTGCATTCGATGTCATTCTCTTGTATCACATCTAGGGAGTCTTCAGCTATTTCGAATTCTTCGAATTCGATGTCGTTGAATAATACGTTACGACTGCCCCTTTCGACAACTTCGGCTTTTTCAGGTGAAAACCATATTTTGGTTGTCGCCCCTCTGATACATCCTTCACACATGTCTGTTTGTCCATGTGTGGATCTGCCTTCAGTTTCTGTCGAAAGCACGCTATCTAGGCATCCAGTTCTGGAAGACTTTGCACCTTTAGCATGTCCTTGTGCTTTGCCTTTAGCAATGCTTTCTGTTCTGTCGGACAGCTTCGGGCCATCCCCAGATTTCTGAGCACTAGGAGCGTCGTGTTCCTCTTCAGCTATGGCTTTCCAGTCCTCATCTTCTTCAGTCCCGGCCAACTCCAGGCGACTGCCACAGCTGTTGCTTTTCACTAGCCGGAACTTCACTCCCAGGTATTCGTCCGGAATGATGCGAGTTCCCTTCCTGGTAAACTTCTGGTTCTTTTCTATTTCGTCCATTATGGCCAGTGTCATGGGACTCCTCAGTGGTCCGTTACTCGCCGCTATTACTCGGCCCCCGTAGTACGTTACGGTAGTGCCACACGCGCGGATCCTCTCCAGTACTTCCGGCGCCACGTAATGGCCTTCATCGCTCTCCTCGAGGTAGTCATTTCTGTCAGGGTACTCGTCATCGCTGCTGAATACGTCTGTCTGTTCCTCTTTGCGACTGGAAGTGTCTGGCGACTCGACGTCAGTCTCGTAGCAACTCAGGTCGCTACTGATCCCAGATGACAAGCTGCCTGAGTCTGTCCAGCGCTTGTGTAAGGCGTTATGTCTGAAAACTGTGTCCACTGTCAGGTACTTTCTCTTGACCTTGTCAGCAGCATTCCTGTTGTCAGTTTTAGATGCACTGATTACTTTTGCTGCTGAGCTTCTGCTATTTCTTGTGCTTTTTGTGTCATTAGCAGTACTGGTTTGTTCGTGATGTGAATCTTTCATTTTTATAGTTCTTTCAAAAATTTCTCTGGCATGTCTTACTTTCTCGGGATCTGGCAATTCTTCGTCGACCAGTGATCTGTTGGTTCTGATTGGATGATAAAAGAAATGACGCCTTAAGATCGGTTGTTGCCTGGGCAGTGTGTTTGATGCCGCGGATGTGCTGTTCCCTGTCTTGACTGTGGCCCCCGTTATCCGACAGGTGCCCTCGGATGCTGACTTTGTGGCAGAGTACTTTCGGTTCTCCAGCCTGACTCTCGACTGCCTGACAGGTTCTATGATGACGACATTGTTGTTCACGAGGAGTTCTCGCAGTCCGTGCCTGTAATCTTGCAGATACTGCAGAAGACCGTCAAATGCCGCCGCTTTGCTGTCTCTCTCTTTAAGCAGACCAGCATGAAGCGTTTCTTTCTTGTCGGTTTTATGTTGTGTTGCCTCGGCGTGGTCTGGAACTGACTTGGTGATAGTAGACAGCGTTTCATGTCCGTTGCAACTGAATGCTCTGAAAGCTGTGCTGGTTTGTGGATCTGGAGATAAGTTGTTTTCATTTCGAATCGAGAGTTTCTGCAACGTGTCGCCGGCTTCCTCCATCGATAAAGTAGCGATCAACATCGGCTTCGTATTACCAGCAGCTGCTTCGCACGTGACCCCAGGTGCTGGCAGCATTCCGGCGGTTTTGTCCTCCTTCCGAATTTGTCTTGGGGATGATACCATCTCTCTTCCTCCGTCGAAGATGCTTCTCAGGTTTCGAGTGGTTTTTGGCGTGCCATCTTCACTGGCAGGAGGCGAACTTTTGGCATGGCTTTCTTGTTGCCGCAGTCCGGTGCTGTCGTGTTGCAACTCGTCCTGTGAACAGAACAATTTCGTATATACCGCTGTTTAATGCTTTCTGTTACTACAAGTATAGACGGTGTTCTGTTTCGGTTTAGCATAGGATGGAAGAGACTATGTTACGATACGAGGGAGAGTAAGTAAATAGGTCACAAATGGAAGTAAAACAGCTGTCATGAACGTAATAGGTTCTTTATGTGTATCACTCGGTAGCAGTACAGTCCAGCTTCATGACAGTCTACGCAGCAGACGTGCATGCGCATGTTCATGGTGAAAGGCTAGTTTCAGTAGTCAAAATGACGACTTAGCTTGAGGAATGTACTAATAAAGAGCAGTGTTCTGTTGCACTTTTTTTTGGGGGGGGGGGTAAAAGGATATTGATAAAGAAATGTATGGGTTATGATACTAAACGATTCCCGTCAGTTACACATGGGAGCTTTGTAGGGCTAACGGAAATTGGGAGGATTGTTGAATTTTGTGAAGTCGAAAGTATCGGGTAGGGGCTGGTCGTCTCGTGGTTCAAGACGGAGTCTAGAATCAGTCACATCTCAGAGAGTGAAATCGGCTAACGAAGGCAGATGCGGGCGAAGGAGAATGAAACTCGGAAGGCAAGTTAGTGGCATTAGCCAGCAGGACAAGACGAAGGCAAGTAAGTGGCATTAGCCAGCAGGACAAGACGAAGGCAAGTTAGTGGCATTAGCCAGCAGGACAAGATGAAGGCAAGTAAGCCAGCAGGACAAGACGAAGGCAAGTAAGTGACATTAGCCAGCAGGACAATACGAAGGCAAGTAAGTGACATTAGCCAGCAGGAAAATACGAAGGCAAGTAAGTGGCATTAGCCAGCAGGACAAGACGAAGGCAAGTAAGTGACATTAGCCAGCAGGACAATACAAAGGCAAGTAAGTGACATTAGCCAGCAGGACAAGACAACTGAAGAGTGACTCACGTGTTTGTTTCCATCTCGGCGTCTGAAGGCGGTCGTCGCCGAGTCGGTGATCTTCAGCACTTGGGGTCTCCTGGACATCGTGTCGCTGCTGTCTTGTCGGCGCTTCTCTGGTTTGCCTGCTGTGGCACTGTCTATTGCGTCAGTGTCTTGTTCCTCGTTTGCAGTGGCGAAATTGCCCAGCACGTGTTCTGCAGAACCTTCTCGAGCTTTGCCTTTATTCCCTGCTGAGTATTCTGTTAACCCACAAGTTTTACCTTTCTCAATCGAAATGTCGTCTGTCCTTGTCAGTTTTCCGTTCGAAAAACTTTGTATTCCCGTGTTCTTCACACTTGCAGTATTTTCTGCTTGTTTCTTGTTCTCGCATGCAGAACAGTCTTCCTTCTTGTCCGCGATATCGGGACGATTATTACTGTTCTGGCCTGACGTATCTTTCTCCTCGATGCTGTTTTGGCTAATGTGTGCTCGACATTCTGGATTTATCCCCTCTGCCCTGCCAAGCGTCCTGCAGGCCGAACAGTCTTCCTCTGCAGGATCTGCTTCTCTGACTTGCGTACGGGTTTTATATTCTCTCTTGTCTCTTGGTTCATTTACACCTTCCCTCTTTCTTCGCGTCTTGCCGTCAGGACGCTGTGTCTTGCCTGAGAATCCTGTACAATCCTGATCTGTCGTGGCTTGCCCCTTCAGAGGTCTTGGTGTAGGTTCATCATGTGTGTTTTCACAGAGGAGTGTCTTTGCCGATTCACGCGTACAGAGTTGAAATATGTTCGGGCTGTGGACTGGAGGACCTTTAGAGACGCCTCTTATGCTTGCAGACTCGCCCGCAGGTGTCACACAGGACTCCCCTACAGACTCTGCTGCCCTCTGTACTGATATTTCTGTGGAAGTTTTACCAGTGCAATCATTAATTCGTTTTGTATCCGCGTTTACAGAAAGTTGAGTTAACTTTGTTGTCTCGTTTCCAGAATCTTGAAATCGGCATTTTGTTTTATCTACGGGAGGAATTTCACTGGGCTTATCCGTAGAGTGACATGTTTGGTGTGTGTTGACTGCAGAGTTTTGTGTGCCGTTTAGAGTAGTGAAGGCTAAAATGCGCGGTGATCGATGCGCAGTGTTGGTGATGCTGCCACTGTTTCCTGTTCTCCGTAGTGCAGATGTCCCTCCAGGCAACGAAGCGGTACTCTGGACCTGTGCGTTGCCTGACTGGCCACGGGCGGGTTGCCTGGTTCGATCTGTTCCCACGGCACCGGAAGTTGCTCTGAAGTCAGGTGGTGGGGTCAGTAGGAAGGGCCTCGTCCGGGATATGAACTGTAAATTCAGCGACGAGGACCTGCGAACAATGAGTTCTGTGAAGCTACAAAAAAATATTGCAACTTGGGAATGCAGTACATGCAGCCGAATTCTATGCGATGATGAATGTAAGTGCGTAGCCCCCCCCCTACAGGGATGCCTTTTGTGGGCTGGTCCACGACGCTGTCAGACACTATACCGTTCTTTGTCTGGAGGACCTGAGTAAAACCACAAATAGATCGTCGTGATTGCCGGAGTCTCGGCCGAGTTAGAATCGAAAACCTTCCGAATACAAGTCTTGAGCGGTACCGCCACGCCGACCTACACCGAGCAGGGCTTTCACTAGGCCGCCTTAACAGAATTAAGCTGCGTAAGAAACTGCCTGCCTTTTACGGAACCCGAAGGTTCATTACCGTGGTCACAACAGCCAACCGTTGGACGCTATACTGAGCCAGTTTAATCCATTCTACGCCCTAACCGTATTATATCTTTGTATTTTGTACGTAATGTACACATTCTTTCGACTGTGGGTTCCAAAAGGATATATTGGTCTCTGTGAGACTATCCAGGGAAACCGTCTGGATAGACGCTGCATAGCGTGACCTCGCGTTGCCCGTATCGGGAGCGCTGTGCTGCACCAAAGCTTGCAGGACGTACTCCGAGGCGAGTACACAGTATGTTTTGCATGCGCCATTGGCCATTTATTGCTCATAAAATTCTGTTTTCCCACGACAACTGCAAATTTAGTTTATGCAAAGGTTACAGAGTGGCGTGTTCGAAACAGCTGCTCCAGTTACATACAGCAGAGCGTAATGGCAGTAGACCTCAGAAGAGGGATGTGACGCCGTGTAGTCCGGTATTTCAGCGATGTTACAGTAAGCCAAGCAAGAAGAGCTCTGTGAATGGACTGCACGGCGTCACATCCCAGAAGACACAACTCTTCATAGTCACCTCTGGGAGAGCCTAAAACAAGAAAAACTATTTCAGAGTTTGATGGGGGGGGGGTCTTCTTGGGATATTTTGTAGGTTTGTAATATGACGTCCTGTGTCGGTATAGCGACATGCAGGGGGCGGGCGGCAGACCGGCTCGTTGAACCGACCCAGCATCCTAAGCAGTGGGTAAGCGGGGCAAAGCAACCGGGACGTGAAGCTCAGCACTCACTTCCATCTAGTGCCGAAGTTTAGATAGTGTCAGGAGTGCAAAGCTTGGCTGCATAACCACAGGCTCACTGCCCTGGTGTGTGGCGTGCCGTGCGTGGAAGCAAGGGAAGCATTGCTTCCGTAGTTAAGAAACGAAAAGAAACGAAGTCATATATAAATAATTCAATTTGAATATTGTCATTTAGCGCGTGTTCCTGCTCCAGGCCACATGCCGCCGCCTCCTCCTCCCTACCCCTGCCTGGTGGAACGGAAGCAAATTTCGGTTTGCTGGCTAGACCAGCGAAGGGATGTGTTCTTTCGCTGGTTATGTTGTGTGTGATTTGTCTTGTTGGGTGTTATAGGTAACATAAGTTTTATTAAAATATTGTAAGTGCATATTTATATGGCGTAAGATTGTTTTTGTGATCGTATTTTGACGCATCAGAAAGAAGCTATCTGCGTTTAAGGGAAGCAAATCTCTTATTTCGGTACGCGGGCAGGGGCGTGATTAGACTACACGCACAGGCAACAGCTAAAATGAATGCTGGCAGACAACGCGACTGCGACCGTGCAATCGAAAGCCTTTAAAACGGGGGTTTAATAGAAGGGAATTTTCTGAAAAGAAAATAATTATAGAAAGAGGACGACCGACAGGAGAGTTGCGAGAACTTAAAGCACAAACCAAATTATGTGTGAGGAAATTTAATTTGGAACAGTATTCTATCCGGTTGCCGTAATCTAGGAAAATTGTTTTTTTGGCCATGCCTGTTGTTTCTCAGTGAAAAAATGTATGGAACAAGACTGGGTTTGGTGATATCAACAGCCTTCATAAAGCACTGAAACGACGTGAGAACTCTCAGACTCACATTATTTCAACAGTGCAACTTGTTATGTTCGGGAAATCTCGAACTGACTGTCAACTTGACAATCAAAAGTGCCTGACGATACTACATAGAGGAATAATGAAACGCTTGATTGATATCATCTGCCATTTAGGAAAGTGGCAACTTGCCCTCCATGGTCATGACGAAAGCGTGGATTCTATCGACTGAGGTAATTATGTGGAATTAGTTCACTTGTTGAGGAAATATGAATATAAACTCAACGTTCACCTTGAGAACAGTACAGTATTTACAGGTTTATCGAACAGTATACAAAACGACCGTATTGACTCAATAAGTGACGTAAATTTTGGTGAGCTGATTGCTATCAGTTCGTTTATTAGATGCCACTGCTTTCCTTACCAAAAATAGTACCGCACGCCACTGGTGGTATCCTGTTTCCTTCACCTTCTTTCAGACTTACATTTAACGACACTGTAACAACTAAAACAGTCATTCCTATGTGAATGACATTACAAGAGGCCCGGAAGTCGTAGTCATTGGGCAGTGCTGCTCTTTCGTATTTGGAGGTCCCCGGAGACTGGTGGTTTTTCGTTGTTTCCTCAGGGGTTCGATTCCCAATGAGGTTATTGGATTTTTAAATTGACCTAACTCTCCCAGCCGCACTGTGGCCCTGGGGTGGACTCAGCCTCTAACAGGAATCTTCCTGGGGGTAAAGGGCAGTCGGCTGACAACCTCACCTCCATCTGTGGCAGCCCTATGTGCATCCACGCTCTGTTGCAGGATCTGCAAGGAAACGCATCGCAACGTTTATGTAACCGAGAGAGAGGAGCGCACGGAGTGAAGGTGACGTCAGCCGGTGGGCCCTTCAAGGTAAAGCGGCCGGTTCACAGGGTATTTCATAACACTTCGTCAGGTTGTTCCAGAGCATGGGAGAGAATCACGTGTTGGAGGGTTCCGCCCATGTCTCGAGCGCCACTCGCGCAGCAGTGCGGTGTCACGTCTGTCCGATACCAACTCAGTTTCACAGGATAGTTCAGACATGGGCCGGACTGCGAATTAGATGACCAAGTTTCGATACAGGGTAGGAACGTCATCACGCCCAGAAGCTCTCTGGGATGAAGACAGCCGGAATCTGAAGCTGATCAGTCATCTTGCACTGGAGCTGAGGTGGAGATACGAGGAGCTTATCTGCACGCCATCTGACCCCTGTGCCCCATACCCCATACATTGCATTGTAAGGTTATTACCGACTGTGTTGCCTCAAGTGTTTTGCAGAAGTCCGGTATTACGGGCGAATGACGGGACACTCAACTCCACCGAGATCCTGTAAATGTCGTTAAATTAGTAGAAATTAGAAAGCTGAGGATCCTGGCGCGGTTGGAAGAGCCCTAATTAGCATCTGTTGTGCCCAAGCCACATGACATAGTGATGTATTCATTTAATTAATGCATGTTGATTTGTGTGTGCTAATGGACTCATCATGCTGGGCAGGTTATGTATGCAACAGGATAGCAAGGCGTCGGGGGGGAAACACGGGGCTCAGGATCGTGTCCAGTGGTGGGCTTGGTATTAGCGGTGTTGAACCTTCGAGTTCTGCGGCCAGAGAGTCAGTTAACTGCTAAGAAGGATCTTAGGGAAGTGAGGATGGGAGGTGGATGGAACCGGCTCAGGATCCTGTCCAGTGGTGGGCTTGGTATTAGCGGTGTTGAACCTTCGAGTTCTGCGGCCAGAGAGTCAGTTAACTGCTAAGAAGGATCTTAGGGAAGTGAGGATGGGAGGTGGATGGAACCGGCTCAGGATCCTGTCCAGTGGTGGGCTTGGTATTAGCGGTGTTGAACCTTCGAGTTCTGCGGCCAGAGAGTCAGTTAACTGCTAAGAAGGATCTTAGGGAAGTGAGGATGGGAGGTGGATGGAACCGGCTCAGGATCCTGTCCAGTGGTGGGCTTGGTATTAGCGGTGTTGAACCTTCGAGTTCTGCGGCCAGAGAGTCAGTTAACTGCTAAGAAGGATCTTAGGGAAGTGAGGATGGGAGGTGGATGGAACCGGCTCAGGATCCTGTCCAGTGGTGGGCTTGGTATTAGCGGTGTTGAACCTTCGAGTTCTGCGGCCAGAGAGTCAGTTAACTGCTAAGAAGGATCTTAGGGAAGTGAGGATGGGAGGTGGATGGAACCGGCTCAGGATCCTGTCCAGTGGTGGGCTTGGTATTAGCGGTGTTGAACCTTCGAGTTCTGCGGCCAGAGAGTCAGTTAACTGCTAAGAAGGATCTTAGGGAAGTGAGGATGGGAGGTGGATGGAACCGGCTCAGGATCCTGTCCAGTGGTGGGCTTGGTATTAGCGGTGTTGAACCTTCGAGTTCTGCGGCCAGAGAGTCAGTTAACTGCTAAGAAGGATCTTAGGGAAGTGAGGATGGGAGGTGGATGGAACCGGCTCAGGATCCTGTCCAGTGGTGGGCTTGGTATTAGCGGTGTTGAACCTTCGAGTTCTGCGGCCAGAGAGTCAGTTAACTGCTAAGAAGGATCTTAGGGAAGTGAGGATGGGAGGTGGATGGAACCGGCTCAGGATCCTGTCCAGTGGTGGGCTTGGTATTAGCGGTGTTGAACCTTCGAGTTCTGCGGCCAGAGAGTCAGTTAACTGCTAAGAAGGATCTTAGGGAAGTGAGGATGGGAGGTGGATGGAACCGGCTCAGGATCCTGTCCAGTGGTGGGCTTGGTATTAGCGGTGTTGAACCTTCGAGTTCTGCGGCCAGAGAGTCAGTTAACTGCTAAGAAGGATCTTAGGGAAGTGAGGATGGGAGGTGGATGGAACCGGCTCAGGATCCTGTCCAGTGGTGGGCTTGGTATTAGCGGTGTTGAACCTTCGAGTTCTGCGGCCAGAGAGTCAGTTAACTGCTAAGAAGGATCTTAGGGAAGTGAGGATGGGAGGTGGATGGAACCGGCTCAGGATCCTGTCCAGTGGTGGGCTTGGTATTAGCGGTGTTGAACCTTCGAGTTCTGCGGCCAGAGAGTCAGTTAACTGCTAAGAAGGATCTTAGGGAAGTGAGGATGGGAGGTGGATGGAACCGGCTCAGGATCCTGTCCAGTGGTGGGCTTGGTATTAGCGGTGTTGAACCTTCGAGTTCTGCGGCCAGAGAGTCAGTTAACTGCTAAGAAGGATCTTAGGGAAGTGAGGATGGGAGGTGGATGGAACCGGCTCAGGATCCTGTCCAGTGGTGGGCTTGGTATTAGCGGTGTTGAACCTTCGAGTTCTGCGGCCAGAGAGTCAGTTAACTGCTAAGAAGGATCTTAGGGAAGTGAGGATGGGAGGTGGATGGAACCGGCTCAGGATCCTGTCCAGTGGTGGGCTTGGTATTAGCGGTGTTGAACCTTCGAGTTCTGCGGCCAGAGAGTCAGTTAACTGCTAAGAAGGATCTTAGGGAAGTGAGGATGGGAGGTGGATGGAACCGGCTCAGGATCCTGTCCAGTGGTGGGCTTGGTATTAGCGGTGTTGAACCTTCGAGTTCTGCGGCCAGAGAGTCAGTTAACTGCTAAGAAGGATCTTAGGGAAGTGAGGATGGGAGGTGGATGGAACCGGCTCAGGATCCTGTCCAGTGGTGGGCTTGGTATTAGCGGTGTTGAACCTTCGAGTTCTGCGGCCAGAGAGTCAGTTAACTGCTAAGAAGGATCTTAGGGAAGTGAGGATGGGAGGTGGATGGAACCGGCTCAGGATCCTGTCCAGTGGTGGGCTTGGTATTAGCGGTGTTGAACCTTCGAGTTCTGCGGCCAGAGAGTCAGTTAACTGCTAAGAAGGATCTTAGGGAAGTGAGGATGGGAGGTGGATGGAACCGGCTCAGGATCCTGTCCAGTGGTGGGCTTGGTATTAGCGGTGTTGAACCTTCGAGTTCTGCGGCCAGAGAGTCAGTTAACTGCTAAGAAGGATCTTAGGGAAGTGAGGATGGGAGGTGGATGGAACCGGCTCAGGATCCTGTCCAGTGGTGGGCTTGGTATTAGCGGTGTTGAACCTTCGAGTTCTGCGGCCAGAGAGTCAGTTAACTGCTAAGAAGGATCTTAGGGAAGTGAGGATGGGAGGTGGATGGAACCGGCTCAGGATCCTGTCCAGTGGTGGGCTTGGTATTAGCGGTGTTGAACCTTCGAGTTCTGCGGCCAGAGAGTCAGTTAACTGCTAAGAAGGATCTTAGGGAAGTGAGGATGGGAGGTGGATGGAACCGGCTCAGGATCCTGTCCAGTGGCGGGCTCTGGTATTAGCGGTGTTGAACCTTCGGGTTCTGCTTCCAGAGAGTTAGTTAATTACTAAGATGGATCTTAGGGAAGTGGGCTGTGAGGATGGGAGGTAGCGATATGGCGGTGTTCAGACCTACCTCCTGGCGGGTTCTTCGGTTCGTCTGTGGTGGATGAGCCTGGCGCGAGGGATGAGCTGCTTTCTGCGCCGCGTGTGCTGATAGCTCGCCTCCTCAGTGATCACTTCCAGCGACGGCCGCACTCTGCCGGAAGGCTGTAGTTTCCTCTGGCTGGGAAAGCGTCTCCTGCAACAAGGACTCTGACGTGTATAATAAGATCATTACGTCATGACCTCGACTGTTTGTTTGTTGAACGTGTTACGACGTTAGTAACACACAAGAGGCAAATAGCGATCGACGCGAATAATAATATTACTTGTTTAGCATTATAGGATCCCTGGCCTTTGTCCACGTTGTTACTCTAGAAACTACAGCATGACGTTTCGGGAGGGGATTGTGCTCCCATTCTCAGGTGGGGCGGTGTTAGATAATCAAGTTTGTTAGAACTTATCCAAGTGAGTGGACAAATGACGAAGCCAAGTTACATTTGTCGGAACGCTACGGAATTTGTTACACCCTCTAAATCCCAGCGGTCACCATGTGTACCATTTTCTTTAAGAGTAATTTCTTAGTCCTGCCCACACAGTGTATTTGTATGTTCCGGATGGTTCTCACAATAAACAGCGACTGTTTCCTTAAACAGCATTAACCGGTGGGCTCCGTAGCGGAGACGTAATGGGTTTCCTGTGAGGTACGGACTGAATTCTTATATATAAAGTCTCTACATTCTACCCACACAGTGTATTTGTGTGTTCCGTATGGTTCTCACAGTAAACAGCGACTGTTTCCCTAAACAATGTGTTTCCTCTGAGGTACGAACTAAAAATTGTGTGTGTGTATATGTGTGAGTGATCAGCCTTTAAGGAGTGAAGGGTGTTTGCTGTATGCTGAAGCTGTCAGAGCAGGCAAACAGAGAGTGAAATGTGGGCTTGCCTGAAGGACTGACAGCAATCGAGGGAAAGTTTGCCTGTCTGTGCTAGCGCGTCACTCTGATGGCCACTACGATGCCTCACTTAAAGCGTAAATAACCTCCAGGGGTTTTATCTGCTTCGTGTCTTGTGATGTCCCTGCCCCCAAGGGAGCTGGATAGTTCAGTTAGTATAGCGACTGGCTAAGGGCTGGACGACCGAGAGGTCAGAGTTTTGTGTCCCGGTAGGGTCAAGATAAAGGGGGAACGCGGTAGCGTAGGGTCAAGAATTTTCTTTCTACACGTTGTCGAGACCGGCTCTGGGGCCCACCCAATTTCATATCCAATCGGTACTGGGGACTCTTTCCGAGGGAGTAAAGCGGCCGGGGTTTGAAGCTGACCAGTCACCTCCAACTAGTGTCAAGGTCAAGAAAACGTGGATCTATACATCCACTCCCCCATACTTCTTCATCACGTAGTGCTTAATTAGTTAAGGAGAAGCACAACTTTAATTGAAGATATCTTACAGTNGGGGGGGGGGGGGGGTAAAGCGACGGGGTTGTGAAGCTGACCACCCACCTCCATCTAGTGACAATGCTGAGAATGGCGGAGCTGTGCCTCCACTCCCCCACACGTCTTCCCCGTTCAGTATTTATCTAAGCACAGGGATAATTTTATCTACCTTACCAGATATTTTACTTCGATAACACTGCGGGCAGTTGAACGGAAGTAAACCCAGAATTACCTCTTTTAATGACAGTGGTAACTATATGTACCACCTGTTTGAACATTGAACACTGTCACAGTAAGCACAGGTACCCACTCGCACAGCACAGTTGCACAAGAACCACTGGCAGCTGTGCACTTGGTCCGGTGTGCCTGCAGTGGAGCACGACTGACACTTCCTGCACGACACTTCCGGTGCGAAGGACATTACCATAGCAACTGAGTCAGCACACCCTCCCGGCATGATTCGTCCGCTTCGCGTGAACAAGCAAGAATCCAGAAGTAACAGGTCGTGGGGTATGATGTCATGACATTTGGTAGGTCGGTACAGACGTTTCGGAGGACTGAAAGTAGCGGCACAGCAGTTCCCTTCGGATCCAGACTACACGCTGTCACTTCCTTGAAGACAATAATTTTAATGGTGAATATTAATCACGCAGCCTATCAGTGAATATTTAGGATTTTGTTTCGTCTCCAAGGTCCGGCAGCTCACGTTGCTAGCTGACGTCACACAGTTAGTTACACAACACCGACATTTACCTGGGCCTGCGAGACCGTGAGCAGTGGCCCTGAGCCACATCTGCGGCCGCATTTGTTTAACGACGTCAGTAACTCAGCAGCGAATTGCAGAGGACATTGAAGGAAGCGCTTGTGGCGTATACCGGCGTTAGCACAGAGGGATACTAAGGAAAACCACGTCGAACTTCCGGCCCTGTCGGCATCCGAACCGAGCACTTCCACGAGCCAACTTTTACGGTCTCTGAAGCCAGCAAAATCCAATCTACTTCTCGAAGTTTGCCTTTTTGTATCTTCGCGTTGATCCCCCAACTTGACCACGCTTGAAGATGTTTTCGAGCCACAATTCTCCATGGTTCTGTTTGTTTTGATAGGCACCCTGTGGCGGGAAACCAGCCTTGTTGAGAGTATTCGTGCCTTTCTTCATTCCCGGGTTGGTACTCAGGGGAGCGATTGCCAAGCTGTTCTTCACACGAGTGCCGCATCTATACTCGTATAGCGCGGTATTGGCAAGGAAAGCAGCCATACTTGTTTCATGTAGTAGTCGGGATGTCGCCACGTGATTGTGCTCCGGTTTTGGATGGTTGGTAATGATCCTGTGTAGAACCGCTTGAAAGAGGTTTGAGACGCCCGGTGCTGCCACCTGTTGTGAGGAGAGAGCACCTCGCGTTGCATGGCCGCACGCCACTGCTTCAAGTGACGTCACGGTTTCAGAGGGCCCAACTCCCAACTTTGCTTTCATATCCTCTGTTCGATTTGAGGTTTTGAAGGCAGTCAGTATGAGGAGCACGATCTTCCGGGACATGACGCCGTGTAGTTGAGGTATAAGTTCACTGACGTTTCGGAAGAACGTGCTGCCTTCATTTTCAGGGCGGAAGAGCAAACAAAACAAGTGACGAACAAGAAGCGGGCAGCAAGTGGAGTGGCTATGCTTGCTTTGCCTACTCTTCGGCTCTGAAGAAGAACTTGCACCGGACTACACGGCGTCATTCTTCGTAGCCACCTGAAATACCGGCGGTATGCAGTTCGTGGGCCAGACTCAGTGTAGCGTTACAGCTGCCTGGCGGTAAGCTACCCTCACTCCCCGTGTTGGGGCACATTGTGCTGATGTATACAAGTAGCTCAACCGGATCACGTGACACGGTTACGTAACAGGATCAGGGCTGCTGATGTGATGTAGACGACGCCGCATCCTGCGCCAGGCGGCGGGAACGGGGACGGGTAGGGCCATCTGTGTAAGAACGCGAGGAAGACGCAGAAAGTCGAGATAAGAGGACAGTTGACGGGGGATCTCCTTAGGAAAAACAACTTGGACAACAAAAGGGTGTAGGTGTGAGGGGCTGACATGCAGCACGCAATACTCGTACAGCTTAAGCCTCCACGGTTCGCCTACCGCCATCTGGAACACGGAACTGCAGGAGAGAAACTGCTTGTGAACACGTGTTCTGTAGCCCGTCACGGTCTCGCCCGCCCTTACCATTGTCTCGTGTTGTTTCAAGCGTTAAAGGCTAGCTCTGATTAGTGGAAGGAATAATTTCATTAAGCCAGACAAACGGGTCCATTGTTAGGGAGAAGCTGATCTGGCTAAACCAACTCCATGGTGCAGAAAAGCCTTGATCAGAAACCAAGAGTCGCGTAGCCACTCAGGAAATTTAATGGAACGCGAAGATTGCTGCCACAGGTCTTCTTTATCCTGAGCCAGACGAATCCAGCCCGTACCCGTCCTATGTTATGCTCTCATCTACGTCTAGACCTTCTTGGTGCTCTCTTTCCATGTAGGTTTTCCCATCAAAATGTTATATCCAGTCCTCTTCTCGTCCATGTTTGCTACATGGTCTTTCCATCTTATCCTCCTTGACTTGATCATTCTAATTGTATTTGGCGAAGAGCACATGTTACGAAGGTCCTCATCATGCAATTTCTCCAGCCCTCCTGGGTCCATATTGTCAACTTATAACTGCAAATAAGGATCATGCTCTCGCTGTTCTACACACTTCACAAATCACTATAGGACACACTAGGTCTTCTCAGTCTGTTACAGACTTTACTAGCCGTTGCTTGGCAGCGGCTTACAAAGGCGGACGTTCCCCTTCCTCTGGGTTACGCAACTGTCTCCGGCCTCAGCTAGGAACTCCTCGCGCTAACAGGTCACAATAACTGAACGGACCTCGTAGAAAACACCGCTTCCAATTAGTTTCCGTGGAATTGTTGCGTTCGTGTGTGTTCGCGGAGCTACATGCCGCAACATATTCTCCTTAGCACCCCATCCTCAAGCGCTGTCGGTATGTGTTCCTCCCTTAATGTCAGGAACCAAGTTTCACACCCATATAAAACCGCAGGCAAAATTATGTCTTCTGGGATGTGGCGCCTTGTAGATCTTATGTGAATTGAGGTTTCGGAGGAACGTATCGCCTCCATCTTCAGGGTAGAACACTCGCGAGCGAGGAACCAGCGTGAGCAGGTGGCTGTGTATATCCAAATGAGCATACTTCTTGGTTGCAAGAAAGAAATACGCATTGGCATTAGAATCTGGTCCCTAGTTCTCACCCGACAGAGTGTGGACCACAGACGTTTATGAGCCCCCTCCACACTGTTCCGAGGCCGAGACATATCACAGGTTAATGTAGCATGCATGAAGCCCATTCGTCACGGCCAGCAGTTCGCAATGCGCATGTAAAGTGGGCCGGTATGTGAGGACAGGTGAGCCTCTGCTGACAGTGCCTGAAGAGAGCGAGAGAGAGAACTGACTGCAGTCTGACTGCACTTCTCAGTACAGCTGTCATGAGGCGTTAGTACTGGGTTCAACAAGAACAGCTTCCCCTGGTTTCTCGCCAGGCAGAAGACGCGAACAGTGTTGTCTGGTTATTTGCGTCGAGTTCCGTCATGGCATCACATGATACCTGTGTACAGGTTCTGATACAGCCTGAAGAGTTAACTTGTCAAAACCCACAGTTTGTTGCAGAGCTGCCATCGGTGATTTGAAAGCGGGACAGGAGTTGAGAACACACAGAATGGATCTCGTAATTTATATATACGA